GTATTTATAAAAGAGTGAATATGAATAAATTGTATTTTTTTTGGGTTGCTGAGAGTTCTCCGGGCTGTATGGCCATGTTCCAGAAGCATTATCTCCTGACGTTTCACCCACATCTATGGCAGGCATCCTCAGAGGTTGGTGAGATCAGTGATCAGGGATTCCAGCCATGAAAGCCTTTGACAATACATTGTATATTTTTTTCATGCATTGCTACAGTCCTGTAGAACAAAATTCTGGTAGCCTTTGCTTTATTGATTAATATTATTATTATTATTACTGCGCTTGTATACCGCCGTTTCTCAGCCTAAATTGGCGACTCAACGCGGTTTACAACACTACAACAATCAACAATATTCAATTTAAAAAGCATAAAAAACACATACTCAGTACACAGTATTGGGCCACCAATAACAATCGAATGCATCTCTTAATTAAAATCGCAATCCAATTTCGTCGTCTATGATTACCAGTCCTTTGATCATCAAATTCATTGCACCGGATTAACCGAATGCTTGTTTGAACATCCATACAGCATTGCAGGCATTTTCAGCAGTGCTTCCCAAACTGTCTGATATAGGAGGGACTTCAACTGTTTTTATTTATTTATTTATTTATTTATTTATTTATTCATTCATTCATTCATTCATTCATTCATTCATTCATTCATTATTTTGCTCAATATGCCAGGGGCCAGTATAACATTTGTGACCATTTGCTACAGGTGTTTGTTTCTTTCCTGAAAACTGGGCCCCCATTTTGAATAGCACCCATTTACAGTTATTTTCAACATAAAGCATACTGTACACACATGAGTATATTTCCAAATAAATCTCGATAGGACTGATGTCGTATGAATTGCATTGATTCCTCTCTGAATGCAGGACTTACTTTTGTATAAGACTGACTTACTAATATTCTTTCAGTCCTCAGCTTTTGATAAAAATTACAACCATCTGTACTATTTTTCATAAGTATGTATTTTATGCTAGGGACAACAGAGACTCTTATATTTGAAAAATGAAGTTTATGTCTGGAATTCATCGCAATGCGCTGGCATACTCCATGACCACATTGGGTGCTGGAATGATGAATAGTATCTTCAATTTCTATTATGTTAAACTTTTTCTAAACCGATACAAGCAGCCAATAGTGAAAGGACCAAGGCAGAGACATCTCCAGCTCATCCCCTGTTTGGGTATCAGCCAGCACGTCAACGACTTAAATCAAGACATAGTTTTCTTAGATCTACAGAGACACTCGCTGGAACACCCCAGCAAGTGAGAGTCCAAAAGTGGCAGGCCCAAACCCAGCACCTCAATTCATGGGTGATACCAGATGAGAGACTCCCCCCTGGGCACTCAGAAGACTGGGCGACTTGGAAGGCGCTGAACAGACTGCGCTCTGGCACCACGAGATGCAGAGCCAATCTTAAGAAATGGGGCTACAGGGTGGAATCCTCAGCATGCGAGTGCGGAGAAGAACAAACCACTGACCACCTGCTGCAATGCAACCTGAGCCCTGTCACATGCACGATGGAGGACCTTCTTGCGGCAACACCAGAGGCACTCCAAGTGGCCAGATACTGGTCAAAGGACATTTAACCAACCACCAAATTTGCAAAATCTGTGTGTTTTTTTTCTTTTTCTTTTTAATCTGTGTGTTTGTTTTGCTCTGTTAGAATTGTAATACAATGGTTGCTGATGACACGATAAATAAAATAAATAAATCTTGACAACAATTTTCCCTTCAAAATATATAAATAAAACCACAAAATTATTAATACACTGGAAATTCATAAATAATTAAAAATTGTCCATAGTAAAGGATCACACAAACTTGCTTACATTTATACACATTAGTGCATGCATATTAACAGAAGAACACAAAGCATAGCAGAACACAAAATAATAGTATTTACCAACAAATATTGGTTGAATTGTGACTTTAATATTTAATGTTAACAGGCACATGTCATATTATTATTATTATTATTTGCTTTATTTCTATACCACATTTTTCAGCCCTTAACAGGCGACTCAATGCAGTTTACTTTATATGTTTACTTTAGCAAATAGATGATGAGATACAGTTAGCTCTCCACATTTGTAGATGTGACTTTTGTAGATTTGATTATAATGCTCTTTCTCTGAATCTCTAGATCCTGCAGTACAATTCTATGGTCAACGTCCAGCAGAAATTGACCACAGATTCATATTGGAGGATCTGAAAATCCCTAGAAAGATTTTCTCTCAGGTAAAAACATTAGATATGTCTTTCTTCTTGGTTTTTCATTTTCACAAGGGTCCCGTGTTCCAAGCAACAGCGAATGTGAAGGACTGACTTACGTTTCAGTTACAAAAGGATAAAATTATTGTTCTTAACTCAGGCTGATCTAAAGTCAAGAATTTTAAATGTGTGCAAAACTAGGTAAACAATTTTAAATTTGGTCCAGAAATACCTATCGATAATGATTCAATGATAGGTACCTTTCTGTTCTGCAAACTAATAAAAAAACTCACATATCATAATGTAATGTCATTATCACTATCAACTGTGCTGCTTGCCTCTTTTATGTCTGCACAGTGTTGTAGTTTTTTAAAATTGATGGCCAGGTGCAGTATTTATAAAAGAGTGAATATGAATAAATTGTATTTTTTTTGGGTTGCTGAGAGTTCTCCGGGCTGTATGGCCATGTTCCAGAAGCATTATCTCCTGACGTTTCACCCACATCTATGGCAGGCATCCTCAGAGGTTGGTGAGATCAGTGATCAGGGATTCCAGCCATGAAAGCCTTTGACAATACATTGTATATTTTTTTCATGCATTGCTACAGTCCTGTAGAACAAAATTCTGGTAGCCTTTGCTTTATTGATTAATATTATTATTATTATTACTGCGCTTGTATACCGCCGTTTCTCAGCCTAAATTGGCGACTCAACGCGGTTTACAACACTACAACAATCAACAATATTCAATTTAAAAAGCATAAAAAACACATACTCAGTACACAGTATTGGGCCACCAATAACAATCGAATGCATCTCTTAATTAAAATCGCAATCCAATTTCGTCGTCTATGATTACCAGTCCTTTGATCATCAAATTCATTGCACCGGATTAACCGAATGCTTGTTTGAACATCCATACAGCATTGCAGGCATTTTCAGCAGTGCTTCCCAAACTGTCTGATATAGGAGGGACTTCAACTGTTTTTATTTATTTATTTATTTATTTATTTATTCATTCATTCATTCATTCATTCATTCATTCATTCATTCATTCATTATTTTGCTCAATATGCCAGGGGCCAGTATAACGTTTGTGACCATTTGCTACAGGTGTTTGTTTCTTTCCTGAAAACTGGGCCCCCATTTTGAATAGCACCCATTTACAGTTATTTTCAACATAAAGCATACTGTACACACATGAGTATATTTCCAAATAAATCTCGATAGGACTGATGTCGTATGAATTGCATTGATTCCTCTCTGAATGCAGGACTTACTTTTGTATAAGACTGACTTACTAATATTCTTTCAGTCCTCAGCTTTTGATAAAAATTACAACCATCTGTACTATTTTTCATAAGTATGTATTTTATGCTAGGGACAACAGAGACTCTTATATTTGAAAAATGAAGTTTATGTCTGGAATTCATCGCAATGCGCTGGCAT